ACTCTCTCTCTCTCTCTCTCTCTCTCTCTCTCTCTCTCTCTCTCTCTCTCTCCCTGTCTCCCCTCCCGGGTGGCTACCGAAGCTTTTATAAAGACCAGCAAGGGTCAAGGGATTTTACCTATTTAACGTGGGTAATTCGCGGGACCGTCGAGATTTTTTTCACCGTCACGCAAAAGGCTAGGAGGACTTACATCTTACCTACCCAAAGGTCAGGAGTAAAGACAGCAGTAAGATAAGGAGTCTGAATTAGTAGCAGAAGAAAGAATCAGGTTAGAGATCCGAGGAGCCCAGAGAAAGTCACATGTACGTGTATATGCGTGGGGGGGGGGGGGTTGCAGTAAGTCCAGATGACAGGAGATGACAGAACACGCACTGCATTGGAACACATACACTGGATGACTCAAATTGTTACTAAATGTTCAGGGAGAAATGAAAAGGCAAAATGTGAAGTAAAGAAAAAAAGAGCGTGTTTTTTTTTAATTATTGTTTTGACAGTATACTTACATGTCATGTATAAATAAATATAAGCTTAACTTACTAGTTCGTGTACTAGCTAGTAAACCTGGCTGGGCAAGGTCTGTCAAATTTTAGATTTTTTAAAGTGAGCCTTTTAATTTATGAGACTCAAATGCAATATAGGCACACTGTGAACTGACAAAAGGGAATTTTAAGAATACATGAATCTGGCAGTGTCGGGGCGCCATTGGAGCAATTGGTGCAAGCGTTCCACCTAATCCTGGCCTTCACCCCCCCCCTTTCTAATTGTTCTAAACCAATCAGTGCTCTAGATCTACATTAGGGCTACTACTACATCCTTGTGATCCGTCACCCGCTGGCTGCACCAGTGATGAGACAGACAGCGAGGATGCTTTTTTATGCTCGTCGCACCGCTTGCGGTTGTGTCTGCAGGGAGCAAGCAAAATCTTTGCACCAAAGTTATTTTTGTCACTGTAGAGAAATCTAGCCATCGTTCTTCCCGCACAAGAAGAAAGGTGCATGAAACTGCTCTTCGCCGCACCAAGTTTGTGCAAGCTAAAAATGTGATCCAAGTTTCCACTAGCCTATCTACTCCAATAGTAGTCTACGGTAACTCAATGAAGAATGAGTATTGGAACTGTTGTCTCCCTCTATTGTGTAGCAAGTCCTGGTCTTGCACGAAGTAATTAGGATTATTTAATATAAAGTCTTCTCAGATTGTGAGCATAGTGAGTTGTTAGCATTGTTTCACTTAATTGCAGCTTTTAGGCGGTTTCATCTAGAAACAGTTATAAACATCGATAGATGTAGATCTAGATTACGGAATATCATGCAGATTCAAATTGACCTTTTTCTGGAAATCTTAATAGTAGCTAGTAAGTATATTACCCATTTGCTCACTTTCCAATTATGCACCACCTAGTCTGCAACCTACGCGACACCACTGGAATCTGGTGTCTAGAATTATATTAATCTACAAGTGCCAGTGCCGCTCATTGACACGGCGTCAGAGAGAGACTCGGAGACGGTGGCAGAGGAGATAATTTACAATTTGACAGCTTTATATGTTGGCCTATATTAAATACTACACACTTGCTAGGCTACAGCTGCCTATATATTTGAATTTGGAGGCATATTTTTCATCGACAAGTACACAAGGAGGAACAAACTATTGAGGCATGAGAATGTAAAATGTAAAGCATTGCAGGTGTACAAAATATTTTCCAGTTTAAAACAGCCACAGCCCACAGAAAATTTTAATAATTTACGGCGGCTGCGCGCTTCGAGATTAATTAATGATATATCGCAATTCTTGCTTGTAGTGTGTGTATCGAGAGAGAGAGAGAGAGAGAGAGAGAGAGAGAGAGAGAGAGAGAGAGAGAGAGAGAGAGAGAGAGGGGGGGGGGCTTTCTTTTCTTGTATTAAGTCAGAGCTGTTAAAGTACTTTTTAAAACGTACTTAAGTACACATTTCACTGAAATTTTCAGTACAATCTAAAAAATGTACTTAAGTACAGTAAAAGTAAAAGTACTTTCCTGTAAAATGTACTGGGGTACAAGTACTTTAAAAAAAAGTACATTTTGAGTACTTTCTGCTAATATGCTATAACACTTCAGCGCTAATGCTAAACATCATATTAAATAACATATCCAGTATATTTGACAAATTAGGCTATTTATTACTAAAAATGTAAACAGTATACAGAGCATTTGATTATCGTATATACATGTACAATGAACGAAGTTGGAAATGAGTTTCAGTTTCAATTGATTATAGTGGTAATTAGACAGATTTTGGTCACACTGTGTAGTCCACGGCGCCCACGGCAAACCAAATACAATAGTTTCTTAGAGTCTAGTAAGTGTAGTGTAACCAAAGATTCTCTACTACAGTAGTCTCCGCCTAAGATCCCAGTGCTCGGAAGCAAGGAATATAATGGGATCTTAGCCGATGAAGCCAAGGAAGAATCTACAGTGACCCATGAACTGACATGACCCCTGGGTGGATTTATGACATATTATGGCAAGCAAAGAGTGGTCAACCTTGATGACCAATCACAGTGGCATGAGCCTATCGTGAGTCTTGAGATCTTTATCTACGCTTATCCATTTGCCCCTCCCTTCCACCTGTCCAACAATTTTAGCTTTCCATCTCTGATTGTAAGTTTAGGTTTAGGGCCCCCCCCAAAAAAAAACAACAACAAAAAAACAACAACAACAACAACAAAACAACAACAACAACAAACAACAACAAACAAACAAAAACAAACAAACAAACAAACAAAAACAAAAAAACCCGCCTATGTCGTTACGCACCATTACGTTGTGACCACACCAAATTAAAATTCAGGCTGTCTCGCAAATTCAGGAATAGAGAAAAACTGCTTTCAACGGCCAGGGAAGAGTTCAGTTTGATGTGATCCCGCCTGGAGCGAACTTGTAAGCCCTACCCACCTAGTGAGTGATGTAAGTTTAGGTGGTGAGCTCAGATGCGAGGGCGATGTTCGGGGAAAAGAAACGCACCGGTCAGTTCACACCTTGGTGTGATCCCGTCTGGAGCACACACTGTACCGTTTCATGGAGTGCTTGTGATCACATTCACGATAGTGGCTGATCTTTGACGCGACGGGCCGTTCTTTGATCTCAACTTTTAACTCTTGGTCGATCGGCTGTGCCCGCCCGGGTGTTTGTTCCGTAAATTATGATCAGAAATGCCGGCACTTACCCTTTCATTAAGCTTCAAAAGTACTCAAAATGTACTTTAAAAATACTCAAAAGTACTTTATAAAAAGTATCGGAGCACAGTAAAAGTACTGGTTTAAAAAATGTACCAGAGTACAGTAAAAGTACCGAAAATTGTAACGTAAGTACTTGTACTCCGTTACAATCAGCTCTGTTAAAAGTTCAAAGCTCAGCAAGGAATAGCAAAACTAGTGTCTATCATATCGTGCACTATAGTTATGGACCCAGCTGTGGCTTCACTTTAAGTTAAAAGCAGAGAAGTGGTTTTGTTTGTTTCATTTTGGTTTTGTTTTACCAGTAGATCTAGTAGAAGTCTGAGAGCAGGAAGGGACAATGTGGCTGCAATTTGTTTGTTTGTTTGTTTTTCAGACGTGGCAGCTTCCTTTTTAGGTAGGTTACTCATTATCTCTCTCCTTTCTATAGCCTAGTATTATAATATAGGCTAGGCCAAGGAGTTTTAGTTCTAATAAGCTCCTTGGGCTAGGCCAAGCCAAGATCTAGGCCCTTTGATGGTCACTTGACAAAGCTAGTCAAGGCTACAACATTAAATATGCACTTGGCCAATGACAACGAATGTACAAAGACGAATGAACAAATCCTTATTATATAATTGTTTGGTTAATTTGGCCGGGGTTAACCAGTAAACACGATACAAAAACATTAGTAGTCTCTGTACAAAGAAAAAGAGAAGTAGGCTCTGTCTGTTAATTGTTTTGTCGAATACGTCTGGGCTAGTCACTCCACATTTTTGCTATTACACACAAACATTGCATTCTATACCAGTTTGGATATGATACAAATCAAGTACACAAGAAAAATAAGTATCATTAAACAGTCTTGTCCAACATACTCACAAACAGATGGATACGCCAGAGTACTTATTTATTTGACAAAATTAATTTGTTTTACCTTTCAACCTTTATACTTTCGATTTTTTTGTAATGATATGGCAAGTGTATTTCGAGCTATGTGAGGGGTAGAATATCTGGCACATGGAACAAAGGAAGGAAAGTAATGAAAAATAACAACACGGTCCGACAAATAGACTGGACCTCAGTAGAACAGAGCGACAAAAGCAAGTCTCGCCTGCAAAAGCCGTGGTCTTGATTACAGTTCAGCTCAGAGGATGATAATCAACCTATGACCGATGTTGTAAATTTGTTGCTCTGACAATCCAAGCTCATTTATGCCTACCGGGTTCAGAAGAGATAGCCCAAGTTCAGTCGCCATCATGGTAAGCCATCGACATCGTCGTAATGTTACTGCTGCTCTCACAGAGAGACAGACGACTGAGAGTCATCTTGTTCAGTTATGTCTGAGGATATGTTTTAGCCTTCTAGATCTAGATCTAGCTGCAATAAACACACATGATGAATGACACTGACATTTTTAGAGGGGTGTGGGGTGTGGAGAGGTTTTATTTTTGTTTCTTTAGCCTAGATTCTAGAAGAGATCTAGAATCTAGATCTACATGAAGGATTTTAGTGTTTGACTTTAGGAGGGATGACTTCTCGCAGTACCTGCCTTTTGAAAGCATTTTCAAATGTATAATAGTCCGGGAACCTTGCCCCAACCACAACTGAAGTATGTGAATATTCAGACTTTTAAATATCACTGAATCTTGATCTGGATATTAGATCTAGATCTAGCTCTAGGAATTGAATTCGATGCAAAAAATTGTGTTGTCGATATTCAGTAGATCTAGATTCTAGATCTAGATCTAGGTCTAGCTGCCTTTGCTTCCTCACACTCAGTGTAAAACAGAAACTAGGTGTAGGGTGAAGGTGAAAACGAAGAACAGAAAAAAGAACAAATTGCGAATGCGTCATTTGCATGTATTATTGCGTTTGTTATTTTGCACCCAAAGTTTGGGGGCATAGAGTAACATCAGGTAACACAAAAGACCAGATGAAGATGGTAAGACAATTATATAGATTTGTAGAATGTAGATATCAAATTTGCAATGGATTTTCTTTGTCTACTTTTCAGGAGGTAGACATGGACTCTCGGCCTGTCTTTGTGGACTCACAGCTGCTGTCCCGCCGAGCGTACATCGCAACCCTGCTGAACGATGAAGTGTCAGATGAGTGGCCGTCTGCCATCTTGTAAGGCTACATTATTTGTCTTGTGCACAACTCTATGTACACAGTTGAACCTGTCCAAGAAAACCTATCTTAATGGAATCTCCATACCTGCTCCCCGCATAATAGATACCTCTGTAATAATATAAAATTTAGTTTATTTAGATGGGAACATGTTTAACCCAGGAAAGTCAAAAGAAACTGGTTCCCTTTGACTTTGAGGGATTTTAATCTACTCAGGAAATGTTTTGCTGGCTCAGTCAGGATTTGAAACAGAACTCTTAAGTTTGGTTCCATCGCCTCTAGAATTTTTACAACATGCGGCCAGGCAAGGAAGGGGGCAAGGGATGCAGTTTGGTGGTAGCCCTGAGTACTCAGTGCTACAAATGATTAGGATTGTGTGGGTTGAAATCTCATCACTGTTAGTGAAGAAAGTGTTGGAGTGGTGCTACCTTACAGAACTTTCCAGAGTAGTCAGAGGTGTAAAAATAATTTGTGGGTGGTTGGCGGGTGCTGTGGTGTGGTTTGCTTCTTCTTTCCTATGAAACATCTATCGTCCTTATCTCCCCTTCTTCTTTTTTATGTCTGTTACTCTCTTGTGACACCTCTAATCTTCTGGCACTCATATGGCCTTATGCAGTTGCGAGCGCTGTAAAACCTCACTAAACAACTAAACAAAAATAATTTGACACACTGCCTGCTACCCTGATGGCAGGACAAGCTGAGAAAAAAGTTCCTTGAATCATTACTACAATTAAGGGGGGTGGGTGATTGGTTGGTTGTGCTTATTACATATAAATTTTAATGGATAGAGAGGCTTAGGGTGGAAGCAAAGGAGTTATTCAATGGTTTCTATTTTTAATTGGTCTGACAATGGTCCTATGAGATGCAATCACCGATGGCAATAGATAAGAGAACTAAGGCTGACACATAGGGTTTTGAATTTTGTTTTGATTGTTGCAGAAAATAAAAGCTTTAAAAAAAAATTCAGATTTAAGCAGAACATTCTCCATGCTAAATCCTGATTCTGCAACAGGTGTCTTTGAATTTCAGAGACTTTTGTAATGAAAAAGCTTTTGAGAATGTGCAGAAGTCAAGAAAGATTTGTATAAATATAAATAAACAAATGAAGTTTGAGTATAATTTGAAACATTTTAAGTTTGCCAGTCTAAGCTGCTTTTTGCTGAAAGCTAGTTTCTTTTAATGTTTAAAAGGAAATACGATTATTATGATTTAATCGCAATTGCTTTGTTGTTTTCTGTTGTGTTTTTTTTTGCTTGCTCAGCATCACTGTCAATAGGTACCAAAGCACAAGAACAGTACCATGATATTTGATGGAAGAAAAAGTACTCACTGTGGGTGGTTGGCGGGTACTCTGGTGTGGTTTGCTCCTTCTTTCCTATCAAACATCCATCGTCCTTATCTCCCCTTCTTCTTTTTTATGTTTGTTACTCTTTTGTAACACCTCTAATCTTCTGGCGCTCATATGACTTTATGCAGTTGGAAGCGCCGTAAAACCTCTACTAAAACAAAAAGTACTCACTCGTAATAATTCAGGTTTATGTTGCGAGAGGAGTAGAGATATAAAATTCAGAAATTCGGAAACTGAATGAAAGATTATTTGTCGCCGCTTTTCACTATGACCTGGTTTTCAACTAATTAAATTTTTCCCTTGTCTAGACAACTCAAGAATGATGTGATCGGCAGTAACAACGAGAAAGACATTTCTATGCGGCATGGACTGGTTCCCAGGTAGGCCACGCATTTGTGTTTAACTTATGTGATTGGTGTTTTCTTTTGTTATTTTTCCTTGGGTAGACTGGATCGAAGGGTTAAATAGGGCAAAGGAAGGTGCTAACAGGACAGAGCAATTAAATTCCTTAGTGAACATGTCACTCAGAAGCTATTTTCTGAATTTGAATTTAGGCTGTCAGCTTTCTCTACTCAAAGATTTTGTACCTCTCTGTAATGTTTGATTTTAAAATCTATCTATGGAAAGTGCATTTGTGCTGCCTGTTTCTGAGGTTAAAGGTGTATGAAAAATGATTACCAATGATCTTTGATAGATGGTAGATTGCAGTTTAGTTTGCAATTTCCTAAGGGTTGCCAATTATGGGTGGAGTTGTTTTGCTTTTGTTTCTTTTGGGCAGGAGGAGGGGAGGACGAGCGGAGGGTTTTTTTTGTCTTGATCATAAGTTTGAAAGTCTTAGTTTATGCTGAATGGGGAGACAAATGCATGCCTGTGGTTGAGTGGTTAAAGTTTAGGCGTTGGTAGTTGGCGGGTTCTCTGGTGTGGTTTGCTTCTTCTTTTGTATGTTTGTCACACTCTTGTGACCCTCTATTTCCGGGGTGCCTTGATAGTCAAAGCAGACCTTGTGCTGTTGAAGCTAGAGAGGTGAGCAGAGTAAGTCTGATTTCCTGTAAAGACTTCTCTGTTGACACCCACCCCTTGGCACTCATACGACCTTATAAATGCAGTTGCCGTTGCGAGCGCGGCAAAGCCCTCTACTAAAAAAAGCAACCAAAAAAACATCTGTTGTCCTTATCTCTCCTCCTTCTTTTTATGTTTGTTACTCTCTTGTAACACCTCTAATATTCGGCACTTATATGACCTATTGTGTAACAAGTGCCGTAAAACACTTACTACTAAAGTTAAGATGGAATCTTATTTTTTTTGGTTTATTTTGTGACAGACTGCTGAAGTGGCTGGAGACGGAGTATGGTGGGCCTCACTTCCAGACGGAGGTGGCCGTTGTGCTGGGCAGTATGGCCATGGGCAAGGCAAACACCACAGAGTTCCTGATGGAGAACAAGGCTGTGCCGATAGTGCTGAAGTGTGAGTTACTCGCGACCTCATTGCTTTCTTGTTGTATCTCTTTTTTTTTTTTAACAGTAAAAGTATGACTTTTTCGCTCTTTGTTATGAACTGTTTTCACTGGTATTAAAAATGAAGGTACGGCAAAGAAGCACTGAGGTCACGTACTGTATGACTCATGTTACTATATGAGCATGGTCTATTGTTGCCACGAGGTCTTCCAACAGTTTATCACGAGGAAGTTCATTCAAATGGATTTTTTGAGGTTCTGATTATGAATGAACAGTAAAGCAAAAATTTATATATGTGCCCCCACATGATAGCATCAAGCGCTTGCCTTGTCAGTTTTTTGGTATATATGGAGTTATTGGTATCATCTTCAAGCTTGTTTGTTTGTCTTGCGTTGGATGAAAAAAAAAGATAACCATCTATCTTGAATATTTGCAGGGTCAGCAGAGACGCCAATCAATAAGAAGCAGATACGCAAAAAATTATTTTTAAAAACAAACGAAAAAAAATAATTCTAGGTTGCGGTAGAAAAGTATAATTAGTCTTTTAGTCTGACTTGTACGGGGTTACAACCAATATTAGTACTCGCACAGTAACATACAATGGTCCCATCGATACCGGTATCGAAAAAACAAGAAAGCCCTTTTTTGTAATGCAGTTCTAGTTTATTGACCATATGGTCACATGGTATCAAATATATCTCATCTGGAGCTGGATTATCTGTGCCTTTGTGTACTTCGGCTGTATCAACTTCCGCGCGGGTCATATTGTGCGATTCTTTCTCTGATTGATACTTTGTTGTGGTAAGAATTTTTATGCCAAAATAAGAATTTTTAGTGCTTGATATAATAATATTTTAAAAAAATATTTCAGAGGTTGGCGTCTCTGGGTCAGAAGTCTTCCTCCTAAATGTTTTAAAGTGTTTCAATGGGATCATTAGTATACTTACATTTATAAAAAGTTGTTTTTTTTTCTTGAAGACTGGTATCTATCAAATATTGGGCTTAGCTCAGTTGGCCCATACAGCTTCTTGTCTTATGTAGTATTACCGAGATGTTTTACTAATGTTATGCTTCATGTCACTGTGGGTTTCCCTTCCAGCTCTCACCAACATCAGTCGCATGTACACTGAGGGCCTGGTACGTTGCCTGAGGTACATATTTAAGCACAGTGCTGCACACAGCGACTACCTGTTTGAGGTGAGCATTAGTACTAGCTTCTCACTTTTTATATTAGCTCCATCTATCTAGAAGTCTTTGCCACAACAGTCGAGGGATACAAAGCCAGAGGAGCGGGTGGTTGGTGGGTGCTTCTTGTTTCCGATCAAACATCTATTGTCCTGATCTCTCATCGTTCTTTTTTTATGCTTGTTACTCCCTCTAATCTTCAGCACTTATATGATCTTATGTTTCAAGTGCTATACTGTTACTGAAACTAAACTTAACAGATGATGTACCTTATACGAGGATTTTCTTTCAGTTTTTTCAAGTGATATAAGCTAATTATGGTCTAATTAGGAGAATTATGATGGAATTTTTGAAGTTTCATAGAAAATTTTGATGTTGTGGCAGCCATATTGCTGTAACATGCGTTTTCCACAGAACAAATTGGAATTTAAGCCTCAAACTTGACACACAAATACACAAAACCATTATCTGTGATCATAGGTAAGGATTTTTTTGTAACATAAAAATAAAAATAAAAAATCTGTACATCAGCGGGCGACTTCTGAAAAAAAACGGTACGATGGCAAAAAATCCGGAATATTGAAAAAAATAATCTATATTTCGAAAAATCCTTGCCTGGGATCACAAAACAGACTATGCAGCACCTTTTTGCCAAATTCCAAGCTTGTAGCTCAGATAGTTCCAGATAAACGCTTGCCACCGCATGGTCACTGTAAAAAAGTCATTTTTGAGAAAAATGCACAAAAATGATTTGGAAGCATCAAAGTTGGAAAAGCGTTGTTTATAAAACAATAAATTTGATATTTTTAAAAAAGTTGGCCCATTTCTCTAACGTATTTAATGGAATTGATCAGGTTGTTGGTTCATTTCCTTTTGAAGCTAGCATTCAACAACAAATGCTCACAACTACCTTAATAAAAAATCAGCTCTGCCCTTGACCAGTTACAAACAAATCAGTACAATTGTTGAGTAAAACAGTCCAAATTACACACACACACACATACACACAAAAGACAAAAAACAAAGAAACACACACTTACATGCACTTTGAGTGTATGTGTGTGTGTGTACGTGCACGCGCGCACTTGTGTAGCAATGCCCACCGAGCGCGTTTTGTTCTGCCGATTTTTGGCCCCCGCCACGGGGGTGTTTGGTGGGACGAACTAACGGAAAGGTTGTTGTCTTCAACTCGCTCTCACGCCGCTTCTCGTGAATGGATATTAATGTAACTTGGCAGCCAATCAGAAAAGAGGTCAATCTCGTAGTATGCAGTTTGACAACATTGTACCCATCCAAGAAGCAATTGAAAACGTTTCCGAAAATGATTGATGTGGTGCACTTTGAAGATTTTTCGGAACTGTGATTTGTTAAACTGACTGATACGTTGTACACCATTTTTCTTTATTCCCTTTAAATTTCATGCTTCTGTGTTTAGCAGTTTTTGCGTAATCTTTAAAAATGTGGGAGTAACTACGGGAAAAGCGGCATTGCCATTTGCGCGTGCTGGGTGAACGACCGGCGGCCTGGAAATTTCCACTGAGTGACGTCATCAGCCATCGGTCGCCTCGGGCGCTACAAACGAGACTCCGCTTATGTGACCCGGAAAGGGGGGGAAGGATACTTGAAAACTAAACGGGGGCCTTGATTACTTGCATTTTAGTCACAAAACAATAGATGTAGTCATTTTTATTTGCTTGATTGCATGAGAGAAGAATAGAAACAGAAAAGTAAACATATTGAGAAGTGGTATGGCATTGTGTTTGCGTTATGAAAGCCTATTTCCCCCCTCTTGGGAAAGCACACACTTGCACTCGTTCTGTGTGCTCTGTTTGGAAAAGGGAGGCATTAAGATTGTTATTAAAGAGTATGGTACTTATTTAGTCCAGTCTGGGAAGATAGTCCCGTTTGTACATTGTTATCGTTACACGTGCGTGCGTGACTGTGCGCACGTGCATGTGTGTCTGTGTGCGTGCGTGAGAGAGAGAGAGAAAGAGAGGGAGAGAGAGAGAGAGGGAGAGACAGAGAGAGAGAGAGACAGAGAGAGAGAGAAGGGGGAGGGTATAAATATGTTACATTTATAGTACGAGTTGTAGCCTGCACATGCGAAATATTCCCATGACTTGTAAACTATATAATCAAAACGCATCTTAATCTACCACACAATAGGACACTGTCCAACAATGGACATACACAGAGACGATCTTATTTTCTACAACAAAGTATGCATGCTTTTACTAGTAGAGAACTGGATTTATTAGACTAATAATTCCAGCTCTCTACTTACATTTTTGTAACAAATTGATCCAGAGCATTGCTTGGCAAGGAGGAACCTTTTATGTTGCCAAGTTTCATTCAAATATCATGACTTTGGGAGAAGATATGACTGATAATCTTTGTAAATCTGTAAAGAATGCCACTTTTTTACCTGTTAATGTCTTTACAACTCAAAAGTATGATAGATATTAAAAACCTGACAGCATGACTAGATTCTGCATTAAAAACTGTACTAGATTGCTAAGTTTCATTTACATACTCCTAGAAATAGGTGAGCTATGATAAATAGTGTCTCAAAACGCACCGAATATCGCCACATTTTTACCAATAAACGTCTTCATAACTCAAAAACTAGGATAGCTATGAAAAATCTGAAAGCAGGACTAGATTCTGTACTAGAAAATGTACTAGGTTGCCAAGTTTCATTTAAATACTCCGAGAAATGAGCAAGTTATGACGAATATTGAATATTGTCTCAAAACTCACCAAAGAACGTCCCATATTTTGGGGTTTTTTCATTTTATAAAAGTGTACCAAAAATTAATTGATTAAAAAATCCGTAACTTTTTTGTTTATTGATGGATTTTAAAAATTCAAAAAGTTCCATTCTCTGTGGAGATACAGCTACAAAATGCACCTATTTGCAAACACTTTCTGACCAAAAAAAGGTTTTTCGTGGTCATTGCTAACTTGTGTGTGTTTGCCATGTATCCCTATTCTGGAGAAATTCAAACAAATGCTTTTTGCTCCCTCCACTGGGCTCCTGACTCTTTCTGCAGCCTTTCTACTTCTACTCCTTGGCTCCTTTTTATTGCTGTCTTTCAGCAACACCCCTGATCTTCTGGTAGGAAAAATCTACACATAGCCTTCTCGGACAAGGGCGAAAAATCTCGGAGGTCCTGTTTGCAAGTTGCACATGGTAAAGATCCTTGGTGGTCCAAAATCGATAAGAGTAGGCTTCGGCCGCCACCCAGGCAAAATTCAATTGAAAATCTTTGGTGTGTCCAGCGCTCTCATATGAACTTATGCAGTTGCGGGCGCCGTAAAACACTTACCAAAAAAACCCTCAACAAAATACCCCCAAATGCTTTCATTAAAAAATCGCCAAAGACAGTTCTTCTGTCAAAGTTTGTTCTTCTTATTCATAGTACTCTTATGTTCATATTGTGATGTGTTCATCTTCATTGATTGTGCTCTGACAGTAAAAATGTCTGTTAATTTCATTAGAAGGGCATGATAACTACTGAAACTATATGACATATGAAATCTATCGCTTGCTTCTTCCAGGAAAATTGGCACTCTTAAATAACCTTAAATAACCAAATAGTGTTGATGGTGTGGATGTGAAAACCCATACACTTTCTTCTTTTTTACCTCCCCAGGAAAACCGTTTTGGAAACACGTACATCCCTCACCTGCTCAGTCTTCTGCCCGTGTCGCCCAAATGTCAGGAGCACATCATCACGGTCCTGGAGCGAGCGTGTCAGGTGCGGGCAGAACTTATTGATCTTGAAATTGGTTTCTACGATTTGACAGAATTGATTTTTCTAACAACTCCGACTTGACTGACTTTCTGCCATTTAATTTACGATCATGTGCTTTGACTCAAGACAAAGAGCAGCTTCTCTTGAAGAAGCTTTGTACAACTTAAAGTTCTATTTGCATTCATAGCGTTTAGTTAAGAAAGTCGAGTCTATTTTTGTGCATTATCCCAGCTGCTGGGAGCTGTGGCTTGTCATTTTGGAACAAAGTTTAGACAGCTAGCAGCGGGTCATATAGTTAATTCTGAAGGTCTAAGTGCACAATCCTCAGTGTTTTTCGTTTTGCACAGTAAAAAAAAGTGGGTGATTGACAGGTGCTCTGGTGTGATTCTGCTTCTTCTCTCCTTACCAGCATCTATTGCCCTCATCTCTCCCCCTTCTTTTCTTTATATGTTATTCTTTAGTAACGCCTCTAAGCTATTGCGGGAAGATGAAAAACCATTTTGTATAGCGACTTTACTATCAAGCACATCCTGATGGAATGTTTAGACTTTGGAGAAACCTGAAGGAAATATTTTAGGTGTACTAATTTAAAGAATTTGTTTTCCATCGATCATCCCGACAGTCTCGATTTTTGTAAAGGCCTTTGTTCTTTGTAAAGAGTGATTTTTAAAGAATAAAATTTACTCTTATTTTGCTAATTAATTTTTACAATGATACTTCTACCATTCCAGCTTGCAAAGTAAAACCAAGCTATGCCATGAACCAACGTGAAAGCAACCATAGAACTAAACACCTAACATGCGTCCCTTTTAAATTTCAACTTTCATGTTAACTGTACAGTGTGTACTTTTTCTACTGGCGTCTGATGGTGTAGCAGTTATGCGCTTTGCTGTTGCTGGCAGAAGACCGGATTTCGATTCTTATGTTGGGATAATTTTTTATCTTGTCCTTTCTGCTGGGATGTTCTTTCCCTCTAAGTTCGGGTTGGCCTTGACAGTGGGTGGTTGGAGGGTGCTCTGGTGTGGTTTGCTCCTTCTTTCCTATCAAACATCTATCGTCCTGGTCTCTTCTCCTTCTTTTTTGTGTTTGTTACTATCTTGCAACGCCTCTTATCTTCGGCCTTTATATGACCTTATTGTGTTGCAAGTGCTGTAATACTCTTACTAAAATTTTAAAACTGGCCCTGACAGGCAGGGTCAAAGTCGGTCTTTGAAATGATCAAAATTATGTTGATAGGAGCGCAAAACCATGTACATTAAAAACCAAAAAGAAAATCAATGTTTTCTAGTGTCCTCAATGTTTCCTACAGACGAAGGAGCACCAGCAAGTGTTGCTGGAGAGTGGAGCGGTGAGCGTTCTGGCGCCGATGCTGTGGGGACCGTACCACATCCAGATGCCCACCTTGTTGTGTTTTGGGAAGCTCTGTTATAAAAACCCAGATGTCTGTGCAGCAGTTATCAAAGGTATGCATGCTCTGGTGTGGTTTGCTCCTTCTTTCCTGTCAGACAAGTATCATCTTTATCTCCCCTCCTTCTTTTTTGTGTTTGTTACTCTCTTATAATACCTCTAATCTTCTGCATTTATATGGCCTAATTGTGTCGCAAATGCCATAAAGCGCTTACTAAAAAAAAAAGTCTGTTGGCATCTGTTCTCATAGGTTTGTTATAGCTGATGGGTGATTGGCAGGTGCTATGGTGTGGTGTGCTTATATTTTTTCCTGTCAAACATCTCTCATCCTTATCTCTCCTTATTCTCTTCTTTGTATGTTACTCTCTTGTAACACCTCTAATCTTCGTCACTTATATAATGTATTTGTGTTGAAAGTGTTTAAAAACTCTATACAATGTCCCCTTCGTGTTTGTGAACGCACTTCTCAATTACTTTACCCATGGTTGGTTCTAGGATGCTTCTAGTAAGTCTAACCTTATTTTTTAACCCTCTTTAATCTGTATCTATTGTCTTTAGCAGGTTGTTGATGGGTGCTCTAGTTTGGTCCGCACCATCTATTTCTTACTCGTGTTCCTATTTTTGTAGTCTGTTCTTGTTGAAATATGTGGGTGATTCGGAAGTGGTGGGATTTGCTCCTTCTTTCTTATCGAACATCTATGGTCCTTATCACTCCTCTTTTTATTTGTATGCTGCTTTTTAGTAACACCTGTAATATTTGGACTTATGTGATTGCTTTGCAGAGCACGACACCAAAGAAGCCTTTGTGAATCTCATGGCGAGAGACAAACCGTCGGAAATGCAGATTGAGGCAGCTAAAGTTTTGACCTACTTACACCGCGGTGGCGCTATACCATCATCAGATTTTGTCATCAGTAGGAAGGTGAACCGGACGACTGGCCAATTCTTATTTTAAAATACATTTTTCTTTTTATCAACTCCTCCATTACTGTGTAGATATATAATGCTCAGTGTTCTCCTAAATTGGTTAAATGACATAGGTTTCTCTGATAATTTATTGAGGATTTTTTAGATATAGTATTTGCAACTTGTGTAGTTGCCCATACATAATAAGGGGAATCATATTACGGCTTTGTTTTAACTTCTTTCGAAAGAACATTGTCTGTGGGTGGTTGGTGAGTGTTCTGGTGTGGTTTGCTCATTCTTTCCTATCAAACGTGTAGAGTGAGAAGGGGTCTTTTGGACAGGTGACCATTAGAGTAGGTTCGGCTGTATCTCTTTCTGAAATATTTTGATACAGCCTTAAGTAACATTTTTTAAGGGTTCGTGTGGTCTCCTTGAATTCAGGAGTCTTTGAAAACTTAAATGTTCATTCCAGGAAAAGTTGAATTTGAGGAACCTCCTAGAAAACTCCTGGAATTCGCCAGATCGGACATGAACAAAAGTTTTGTCGGATTGCTCTTGGCGCACCATTGAAAACGGCATAAGTTTCTCGACTGAATCTCCCTGAATTTTTAGAATTTTTCCATGATACCTCCTTGAAGTCTCCTTGAATTTGGTGGGGAGTTCCTTGCAGGAACCCTGATTATTTTTTTCCCTCAGAAGAATCAGTTTGTGTTCGAGAGGAAAGCTGGTAAAGCTTGTTCTCACTCTACTTTCTTTTCTTTATGAAAACGCAACATTTTTCTCAACAGACTCTGGGTACTCTGGTGCGTATGTGCAAGCGCGACCGCCCGCTAATGCAAAACGTTCACGCTGCCGAGACCCTGGCCTGCTTGATCGAGAAAGACGTGGGCCTCCAGGAGATAGCCAGCATCACCGACCACGTCATCAGCACACTGGCCAACTATCTGCAGTTCAAGGATGTGAAAAAGATGTCTGCCAACAGCAATCAGGTACATCTGTGTAGGCAGATGGTTGGAGGGTGCTCTGGAGTGGTTTGCTCCTTCTTTCGTATTATACATCTGTTGTCCTTATTTTTCCTCCTTTTTTGTGTTTGTTACTCTCTTGTAACACCTCCAATATTCGGCACTCATATGACCTACTTGTGTTGCAAGTGCCGTAAAACTCTTATTAAAACTAACAACTGTGTGGATTGTGTACTTTAGCTTTACCTCCTTGTATCTGCCTTTGCTGATCATGCTCATATGTTTACTGTAGTTATTTTCTCTTTTCTTGACATATTTTTAGTGAGTATTTTCCCCTGAACTTGTGACTTGAAAGACTTACATTTTTTCCCCTGTTGTTAATTGTTTAAAAAATTATTCGTTTCAGGAAGTTGATTGGGGCAGTGAGATGAAGAGAGCTGCTTTCCTGGCTTTTGCGTCCTTAACCGCTAATGACGAGGACATCCGGGAAAAGGTTTGTCTTTCTGAGACAATCAGCAGGAGATTTTTTGTCTTTGGATCATTAAATGGGGAGCTGGGAGTTTGAGGGAACTGTTGGTGTTGCCTGAGTCTTCCTTTGTCTCTGTGGTGTCTGTCTGTCTCCTTTGGTCTGTGTTATTTTCTGACTGTTGCGGTTTTTGTCTAGGGGGTTGACGAATGCTGTGGTGTGGTTTTCTCTGTCTTTTGTATCAAACATCTATCGTCCTTATCCCTCCTCCCTCTGTTCTTTATATGCTACTCTCCAGTAACACCTAGTCTTTGTCACTTATATGACTTATTTGTGTTGCAAGTAAGTAAAGCTCTTATTGAAACTAAACTAAATTTAAAAGTAATAATAAATAATACTGGGTGGTTGGCGGGTGCTCTGGTGTGGTTTGGTCCTTCTTTCCTACCAAACATCTATCGTCCTGATCTCTCCCTCATTCTTTTTTATGTTTGTTACTCTCTTGTAAAATCTCTAATCTCTGGCACGTACATGACCTTATTGTGTTGCAAGTGCTTTAAAACTCTTACTAAAACTAAAATAAATAATAAAACAACTGCCTTTTAAACATGGCCAGGGAATTCGAATCTCTAATATATCTAGATAAGTCATTCTTGAACAAGTCTTTTGAAAAATCTGAATATGTCTTGTTGTTGCAGTACCTTGTATTGATAAGTGTGAGCGGAAGATCATGGTCTGCTCCTTTAGTTTTAGTAAGATTTTTACGGCACTTGCGACACAATAAGGTCATATAAGTGCCGCTCCTTTCTCTGAAGGTGTTTGACATTGTCATTTCATTTTATGGAAAGTCATTTTGAAACCATTCTCCCATGTAGGTCATCAAACAGGACTGCTTCATCGAACAAGTCCAGGCGTCCTTGTTGTCGGACAACCAGCTCGAGGTCATCGCCAGTCTCAAGTGTCTGCACTCGTTGACCCGATCCGTGCAACAAATCCGAACCGTTCTGCACGACAGTTCTGTGTGGAAACCCATTGTAGATGTGAGTGCATGTGTTTTGAAAGAATAAGATCTGCTTGTGTCTCAGCCAGAAAGCTATGGCAAATAACATTGATTGTTGTAGACTTACAGTTTTGATATGATTAAAGTGAGTGACCCAAGTATTTTGAGAGAGGCCCTCTTTTACCCCTGGTGAGTTAAATTTTGAACTTATGTGGGGAAAACACCCAACAATGTTCCAAATCCAGTGAGCTGGGTTGTTTTTTTTCAAATGCAACATTGTCTTCGTGTTTTTCATGGAATGTAGATAGCTGAAATGTTTGAAGGTTTGGCTCATTCATAGCTGCAAAATGGATGGTTGGCGATTGCTCTGGTGTGGTTTGCTCCTTCTTTCCTTTCAAACATCTATCGTCCTTATCTCCCCTCCTTCTATTTTGTGTTTGTTACTCTCTAGTAACTCCTCTAATCTTCTGCACTTATATGACTTTATTGTGTTGTGAGTGCCGTAAAACTCTTATTAAAACTAAAATAGCTTCCAACCAGTACATAAAGAAAACATACTTTATATGATTTGCGGGTCTGAGTGCAGAAGTTTGTTTTCGTATATGAAACAGTGTATTGTTTTTAAGTAATGCTCCTCATGGACTTGCCGATGCTGAAGAAAACTTCTGAAGCTTCAAGACCAGATTAGCGAGTAACAATGAGAATAGAGCCCATTCGTCAATTGAAGAGATCTGGTGCTGAAGGTTTACTTTAAATTGCTTGAAATTATTGAATTCAGAAATGTGTCTGTAGAGGGTTTTGAGGGGGTTTTACTTGGCCAGTGCCCACTGTCTTGACCCCCTGGGTAGGTTGACTGGTTTTAGGTGTTGAAAAGTTGGCAGCTGTGTAGTCATTATCTCCTATAGGGTGGGCCTTAGGAGTCAATATTCCAGCATCTATGGTGTAGTGGTAAGGCACTTGGCCATTGCATGCAACAGACCTGAGTTCCATTCCTGAGTCGGGAGAAGTTTTATGAAGTGTCTTGGTTTTTATCCAAGTCACAGAGATTGGTGTACTGAAAAATGGGAAGACATAGCAAAACATCAAGAGGCCAGCTGGGGATAGGGAAAGGTGGAAAGTCTTTGTTCGTGGCAATACCCTGATGCTGAGTGAGAAGGGAAATAAAGATGATCTCGGCCTTTCTACTGTGATGTTGTATCCCTCTTAACCCTGGTTGGCCCATACAGACAGGATTCGGGACCTGCCTCCTAAATTTTAAAGATCCAAATTGCATCGATGGTGACATATAAAACACCTACATTGAAAAAAAAAAGCATTGAAAAATTTGTCTATATCCAGGTCAGTTTTTTTATACAGTACAAACCAAGGTACTGAAATAAAACGACTGGCCAGTGGTATTGTTTGTGTGGTAGACTCGGGCAGTACAAAAGTGTCTTGTATGTAACAATTGTAGATACTTTTTCAGGTATTTTCTTCGGCAAGCGAGGAGCTCCTAGGACTTGACAAAGAGGTGAGTGTTATGGTTTTTGGGCATACTCTGAGAGTGGGTGGTTGGTGGGTGTTATGGTGTGGTTTGGGTTAGCTCTTTCTTTCCTATCAAGCATCACTCGTCTTTGTCTCTCCCCCTTCTTTTCATTGTATGTTTCTTTCTGGTAGCACTTCCAGTCTTCAGCACTTATATGGCCTATTCGTGTTGCAGTTGCTGCAAAACTCTAACGGAAATTACTTAAGCTAAGCACTGATACTCTGAGAAAGTGGGTAGTTGGCAGATGCTCTGGTGTGGTTTTCTTCTTCTTTCCTATCAAACATCTATCGTCCTTATCTCCCCTTCTTCTTTTTTATGTTTGTTTAATGTTACTCTCTAGTAACACCTCTAAACTTCTGGCGCTCATATGACCTTATGCAGTTGCGAGCGCCGTAAAACCTCTACTAAAACTAAACTGAACTCTGAGAAAGCTTGTGTGAGTGGGCTTTTATTGCTGGCTTTTTCAGGTTTGTGAGGTTCACTTATGTCGTGGTGGTTGATAGTGAAGTTTGCGAGGAATTTAAACTTCATTTTTGAACATATGTAATTGGAATCTGTATTTAATATTTATGCACATTGTGTATCAAGGTATCGGGAATTTTTTTATGCAAAAAAAAAAGATTTTCATCAAATTTCGAGTTATTGAGCTTATTCTGGGCACCGAAGATGTGTAATCTGAACTGAGATATTCTTGTTATTTATATGTGCCAGTGGGTGGTTGGCGAGTGCCTTGGTGTGGTTTGCTCCTTTTCTCCCATCAAACATCTATCCTAATTTTCCTTGCTTTTTTGTGTTTGTTGCTCTCTTGTAACACCTCTAATCTTCGGCACATATATGACCTGTATTGCAAATATTGTAAAATTCTTGCTAAATAAAGCATTTATGTTTTAATACCTTTCCTTTTGCACTCATGAAAAGTTTCTCTTACTTGACTTGGGTGACAACCCCTTGTTGTACTTCGACTCTACTCCCAGTACTGTGCGGGTGGTTGGAGTGCGCCACTGGTAGGTCCTACTTCTTTACTTTCCCACTGTTGTTTCTGTCTGTCTGCCTTACTTTTTCAGAGCTCTAAATGACCATACCCCCGGGGCGGTGCCACTGACTGAAGTGTCTTTAGGCCATTCCCAAAGGGGGGACATTTCTCGTTCAAGCATAGTAGAATTGTAAATGGGCTGACTCATGTCACGCTCATAACTGTACCTGATCTACAACAGGGAACTGCAGCTTTTTCTTTCCTAATCATTACTATTGTCATTTTCCTTTACTTCTTTTGTATGTTTGTCATTCCCTTGTGACCTGCTATTTTGGGATGCCTTGATAGTCGAAGCATACCTTGTGCTTTTGAAGCTAGAGAGGTGAGCAGTCTTAAGTCTGATTCCCTGTAAAGACTTCTCTGTTGACACCCACCCCTTGGCGCTCATATGACCTTATGCAGTTGCAAGCGCCGTAAAACCCTCTGCTGTATGCTGCTGCTAAATGACCATTATTGTGTGGATGTGCTTCTTTGTACTCAAACAAATCCCATTACTGTTTTTGTTGCTACTTCCCTTATGTAGTTGGAGGGCACCACTTCAGTTTTATCCCTTCTGTTGTATGTCTGTCCATCTGTCTGTCTGTAGATCTGTCCGTCTGTCTTGTTTTTCCCTAGTAGTAAATTACCTTTATTGTGCTGATGTCTTTTTCCTGACCGAAACTCGGAACAAATTCGACTCGTACGTTTTCTCTTGCAGGTGGGTGCTCAGGGTGGGTCGCCAGAGACCCGCGAGAAAGTGCTGCTGGCGATTGGCTGTATGTGCAATCTGGCGCTGGAGTTTAGCCCCAGTAGAGAGGTGAGTCGGGGCATGGAATTCTTGATGTGTGTATGCGTATGTGTGACCCAAAATTCCTTAATGTGAAGAGTATGTGCGTGCACGTGTGCATATATGTGTGACCCCAAAATTCTTAATGTGTGTGTGTGTATGTGTAAAACCTAAATATTCTTGATGTGAACTGTGTAGGTGTTGGTGCATAACTGGAGAATTCTTAATGTTTGTGTGTGGGTGTGTGCATATTAACCGGACATTGCAATTGATTGGCTTCTTTTGTAATATGGTAGGGGTGTTTGCTATGCATGCTCATGGTGTGGGTTCAGTTCCTGTACAGGGAGGGGGGATATTTGGTCACTTTTAAGGAAAGCGGGCTAACCCAGGTTTTGGGGGTTTCCAGAAGTCTTGACCTACACCAGAAGTGGGCATTGCCGTACCTATAGGAGAAATTTGGTGTCATTGGTGTGTATATTTGTTTGGTTGAAGAGAGAACTCTTCTTTGTCTTTTAAGGAAACTGAACAAAGGTCCAAAAACTTTACCTTCGATTTTGTCAAAGCAGCATTTTTCGGGATAGCACCCTTGTGCTTAAAAGCAACCATTTTATGGAGTATTTCCCAGATTTTTCTTTGGATCAGCGGCCACACGGCGCAGGCAATCTTGAAGCAGCCTGCCTCTTAACTCATCTCAGTTTTATTTTTTGGGGGGCTTAAATTAAGACTTGTGCACTTGTTGACGGATTTGTTTCTTCTCTTACCCCCACCCCATTTTCTTGGTCTGTGTGTCTCTGTCTCTCCCTCCGCCCCCCTCTCTCTTTCTCTGTCTCTCTTGCTCTCTCTCTCTCTCTCTCTCCCTCAATACTCTTCATCCTCTCCTCCTCCTCTGTCTCTCTCTCTGTCTCTCTCTTTCTCTCTCTCTCTCTCTCTCTCTCTCTCTCTCTCTCTCTC